TACAATTATTTGTATTGTTATAATTTCTCTCTTACAACTCCATTTTTTTGGCTTGATACATCTCTTTGGTATTTCGAATACATTTCCCTTGTTCATTACAACTAAACCCTGACCGACAATAACCACAAAGATGGGTACAGTTAACATGACCAGAATTAAGCAACTGAGAAGGAGGAGTACATTCCTTTCCATTACAAAAGTAATTTTTAGTATCACAAAAAGATTCTGAATTTGTTTTATTTTGAACATCTAAAATAACTTGAACAATATCCACTATAATAGAACCTGATTCAAATTTATAATAAATTGCATTGTTTGTCTTTGAACATCTAGTGTTTCCAATAAATACAACAAGCCGAATGAAAACACAACTAATTGAACCCCCACATTTATTACAGTCTTTAGTCGTTGAAGTACAATCAGAAGTAGTAAAAGGAAGTTCTGTTATGTTGAATGAATGAAGCTGACAAGCAAAATTTAAAGAATAACTAGGTGAAATAATTACAAGTCCTCCACGAAGAAATTTATAACTACTATTAACAACTAATAAAGACGTGTAAGATTTGAACACTTTATGAAAATTAAATGGAGAAGCCATTTTATAGCCAATAAAAGTTGTTGGAGTAAAGTATAAAGGTAAATTATTTAATACCTCAATTCTATCTTCTAAGAAGAATCTTTTCCATTGATATTTTTGGTCATAAGAATTTGAAGTATCTTCTGGAAAAACTTTTTCTGTTGGGAACCATTGAAAGTCTACACTAGGTGATGGACTTACAAAAGCGTTTGGAACAGAACTTTGAAGTTTACCGATTTGAGTTAAATTAGGTTGGTAAAAAGTAAATTTTGTGTCGCTTAGGGTAACTAGGTTTAATCTGTTTACCGATTCCAAACAAACAGTAAAGGTTCCATTAATATCTATATTTATTGTTGTAGTGTTCCATGTCATATAGATCAGAACTTCAGTATTATACACGGGTATAATATTAGAACATCCGTTTTCTCTGTGAAGTACAACTAATTGGATTGGAAGAGTCTTAACAGGATAAGGACTCATAATAACTGGAATAAAAGTGCTTTCAAAAATATTCCATGAAAGTAATTCATAAAGACTACGTGAAGTAAGTATTGTTCTATTTGCATCATCTTCTGTAATCCCATTAGTGTATTTTGTTTCGTAACAACCTGAAAGAAAACAAATTGATTTTTGTCCATTTGCTCCAGTAAGTTCTAACTGAACCCCACAATAAGGAAATTGTATTTCTCCAATTCTATCATAAAAAAGGTTTTTATGAACAAAACAAATTTGTGGATAATAATTATTTTCAACATTTAATTGTCCATGACCTAAATAACAATCAAATGAAATATAAGACAATCCTGAAACGCTATTTAAATTTGTACCAATGTCTTGATATTTTTCAATTCTCATCATAGACTATATGTGATATATTAATATATTAATTATTTATTTTATCTTAAGAAATATTATGTTTGAGATAAAACAAACTGCTTTTCTAACAACACCCAAAACATTAATTATAAATGTAATGAAGATAAACATTCAAGAATTTTTAATTTTATAGTTTTTCTTTATAAAATATTTAAAATTCTTTTGATTATCAAAAATTGAAATGTGTAATTTATTCTATGGCTTTTTAGACAATTTTTATTTAACAAAAAATTAATTCGAAAAAGCAGTCAAAATTAAATTATTCCAAATGAGGTTGTGTCAATTTTAAAACTGGTTTCAATTGGAATTCATTACTCTTGTCAATACTTAATATTCCTTTTACTTTATCAAATACTCCAAATTTGATATTCATGTTACATAGTGTATTTTCATTTTCGTCAAATACCATTCCATATTTTTGATCAATTAATACAATTACTTCTAATCCATATTGTGGAATATTAATTATAATACCATTCTTCATAACTTTAATTACATAACCATCAACAGTAACTTCTTTATCTTTGAGGAATATTAATGTATACATTTGAGTTGATGCTCTTCCAGCATGTTGTGCCATTGTATGTCTATGATTAATATTATCAGCTATTTCTTTCATTTTTTCTTTTGACATAGTTAAATCTATTTGGTCAAATCCAATTGCTTGTGCAAGTAATCGATGTACCATTACATCTGCATATCTTCTAATTGGTGAAGTAAAATGAGTATAAATTTCAGCTGCAAGACCATAATGTCTAAATTCATTATAAGAAAAATATCCACTAGAGAAGTATTTTGCTTGTTGCATACAACGTGTTACTAATATTCTCATAATCTTTCCAATAACAGGGTCTTCATTAGTTCCACATTTATCTAATGATTCTGAAAGTGCTTTAGAACTAGAAAAATCTAATGACTTTCCTTTATGTTTTAATACATTTGCTAACCATTCAAAAGTATGTTCATCTGGTGGTGGATGTCTTCTTAACATAGCACAATGAGGAAATGCGTCATAGATTTTTTTAGCTACCCATACATTAGCAAGAAGCATATATTCTTCAACCATTGAATTGGTTTCATATGTTTGATATTCTTTAACTCCAATTGGATTAAATTGTTCATCTTTTTCAATTTTAATTTCACTTGATGCCAACATTAATGCTCCTGCATCAATTCTTTTTTGTTTTAATTTTTTAGATAACATTAACATTGCACGTAATTGTTGAGCATATTCGCTTTGATTACTCTTATCATCAATTACTGCCTGTGCTTGTCCATATGCATATGCTCTATATGAATGAACAATTCCTTTATGATATGTACAATTAATAACATTAGCATCTTTATCTAATTCCCAAACAACAGAGAATGTTAGTGTATCAGTATTTTGTGTTATTGAACAAATAACTTCTGTTAATGGTTTTGGTAACATATCAATTCTTCTATCAGCTAAATAAACCGTTGTTCCTCGTTTAGAAGCTTCTTCATCTAATGCTGTATGGGGTTTAACAAAACATGACACATCAGCAATATGAACTCCAATTTCATAATTGCCATTAGGAAGAATTTTACAATGTAAGGCATCATCAATATCAGTACATCCTGGTGGATCAATTGAACAAACATTTTCTTTTCTAAAATCATATCTCCCTTTAAGGTAATCTTCAGTAATTTCAAATGGTAATACTGGAAGGCATTTAAGTACAATTTCAGGAAATTCATAATGGGGAATTTCATGAAGTTCTAAAATAGCTTCTGTTTCACTTGCTTTATCTCCTACATTACCTAATGTTGCAACGTAATGACCTGTTGGATATTTTGATGTTGTATCCCATGCATCAATTAAAACAAGAATTCGTTGAGAAGCTAATTTAGCAGGGTCTCTAGCTTTAATTCTGATTGGTGGGAACCTTTTATCTGTTGGAAGGAATAATAAATTAGTAGAATAACTACCACTACTTTCTTGTTTAATATAACCAGGTAAAGGTTTCCAATTTCTTTTAATAATACCAACAATTTTTCCGGTAGGTTTTCCTTCTACTTCCATTGCATTATCCATGTGAACAGTGTTGTTTATTTCTTTTTCATTCTTTTCATAATCATTATTAATAGTATGTAACTCTTTTTTCCATTGGTCTTTAGGAAGTAGTTGTAATGCAACAATATCTCCTTCTACAGCTCGATTAATATCTTCCAATCCACTAACTAGAATTTCTTCCTTTTCTGTTGTATAAACAGTTGCTTCTTTAAAGTTGAATCTATTCATTCTAACACTTCCTTGGACTAATTTTTTCTCAGAAATTAAACGAGTTATTTCTTCTTTTGTTAGATGATTAGGATAAAATACGGTTGTTCCTTGTGATGTAATAGTATCAGTAATTCTATCACGTAATGTAGTATCGTTTGGGTAATATTGCTCAACAAAATCAATGAATGTCATTGTATGTATTCCTGCATTAATATAATCTTCTTTTAATTCTTTGGAATTAGTAACAAATAATACAGATGATCCATTTAATGAATAATGTTTATTTAACCAATTTACAGATGTGACATAAGCTCTAAAATCTCTATGAATATTTGATTCCTCATTTTGTGCAATGACATAAGTCTCTCTAAAAAATTCATTTAAAAACAAAAATACAGCACGGTCTTCATTTGCAATAATATTTCTTACCTTTTTATAAATGGACTTTGAATTGTTTGCAACATAATTTAATGCAGTTTGAGGAATAATAAAATCTGTTAAACTTTCTGTTTGTAGTGCATCAATTTGATTAAGTAATACTGTATGATCAAACATAGCATATTGTGTTTTTCCAATTAATGGTAAATTTGTTTGGTTGCAAGTAGCACATTTTCTTAAACCACAGGCAATATCGTCTCTTAAGTAGTGTTGCCTTACAATCTTTTCACATCGTGATTTTCCTTTCACAACATATTTTACTTCATTCACACATTCCATCTTACTTTTTGTTTTTTGCAGTTTATCTTTTTTTTTAATTTTTTATTTTTTATTAATAACAATTATTAAACCCTCAATTTCTCTTTAAAATTGTTGAAGCATAAATGAAAGAATAACTAAAATAAATTTAGTGAATGTTAAGTGGAATAATTGTTATAAAAAAAAAGAAAATTAAAAGAAAAAAACTAAAAACTAAAAAAAACAAAGCTTGACAAAGGAATTAAAAAGAATTTTAACTCAACCGATAAAATAGTATTTTAATGCGTTGAGAAATGGTCAATTAAAAGCCAATAAATTTTTAATAGTTAATAGTTAATATAATTATAGTTTCATAGAACTATGAAAAGGCGCCAGAACTGGAATGATTCATGATGTTCTATTTGATTGTTTTAGCCACTTTAGCATTAGCAAAATGCTCACACAAGAATTTTGGGTTATGTTCTAATCATAACACTGAAGTTTCATATGATTATATTCTTCATGTCCAAACATGGGCTGGACAATTCTGTAAAACACAATGTTGTGATTTACCAGAAACCACAAGAGCATTCCATGAAGGTTTTACTATGCATGGATGGTGGCCAAATTTTGTAAGTGGATATCCATCATGTTGTAAATCACCATATACTGATGCTCAAGTTTCTAAATTAATTACAGGAAACTTTAAAGAGCAATTATCATACAATTGGCCATCATTAACAAAATGTAAATTCTTCAATTATGAATATGATAAACATGGAACTTGCTTAAGTGATGTTTATAATGGATCTACAGGACCAAAAGATTATGCTACTGCTGCAATGAATATTCTTATTAAACATGATATGTGGAAATTATTTAAAGCTAATGGTGTTAAAGCTGATGGAGCAACTAGTTATAAAAAGTCATGGTTAAAAGAATTAGTTGCTAAAGAAATAGGTGTTAATGATGCCGTTTATTTCACTTGTAATAAAAAAAATTTAGCTGAATTAAGACTTTGTACTATGGTCACTACTTCAACTAAATCTAATCCACAATTTATTACTTGCCCATCTGCTGCTTTTAAACAAGAAACCTGCGGTGATAATATTGTTTTCCAACCACTTCCTTCATTATCAAGTACAGGATGTGATTATTAATTTCACTTTGACGATTTGATTAAGTTTTTTTTATATTTTAACTAAAGTTCATTTAAAGTATAAAATTGTAGGGTATTATATAACATTCTTAATTCTTAATTATCTTCTTTCTGCTTTTCAAAAGATTCATTAAAAATTTTGTATTAGTTCAAAATGAAATATAAATTATTTTAATAGTTTAACTAAATCAATGAAAAATAATTATCCATAAAAATGTATATAACTAACTGATTATTTTCAAAATAATCTTATACTATTATCATAAAATTATATATTTGTGTTGTTATAAATAAATGATATTAAAAATTCTTTTGAATTAATAAATTTATAAAAGAAGTATATTTTAAATGCTTCTTTTTTTTATTAGATAACAAACACAAATAAAAATATTTGTTATCTTTACTTCTGTTCATTTTTTAGATAAAAAAATGAAGTATTTATTAAATAATTCTTACTTTACTCTTTTAGAAATTTTAAATGTAATTTATTTAGAAAATTATTTAAGAAATGAAAGTCGTTCATACATTATTCTTTCTTTAAAAAGAAGAAAGAAGAACATCCTCAATTAAATCAGTCAATTTATATATATTTTATTTTTTAAGAAAATAATAAACAATTTAGTTAGTTTACCATTTTATAATTAGTACAGATTTTATAATATAATAACATTCTTTCAGAATATCTGTAATCATTCATTTCAACATAACTCCCTTCAATACAACTAGGATTTAATGAATATAATTCATTAAATCCACCTTCAAGTAAATATACTTCTTTGAAATAACTTTGTTTATTTCTTACTAAGTTAAAATGTCTTAGCTGACGAGCAAGACGAGGAGCACGAGTCTTAGAAAATTCACAATAAAAAATGATAATACTTTGCATTCTTAATATTTGTTCTAAGTTATTTTTAAGATATTCAAATAATAATCCTGGGTTCCATAAATTTAAAGCACCTATAACATGTCCACCTTCATATTCATAAGGGTAACGACAGTCAACAACAATATTATTTTTAGTTAGATATTTAAGAAAATTTTCAACTGAAATAGTTGAAATTTCTTGGCTGTAGTAAAAAGGTTGATGTTGTGCATTAATAAAAGGATTTATTAAATAAACCTCTTCATTTTTCTCTTCTATGAGAAGTTTAGGTGCAGATTTACTTCTCTCAATGTTTTGAGAAGTATAAAATTGAACTTTCTCAGAAGAAGGTTGTATTGACTCATAAAAACTTGATGAAAAAGTTAAAGCTGATATAAGTCTTTGACTTTTCATTGTTTTTTCTGTATTATTCATGCATCTCCTTGATTTAACTGGTTTCATGAGGAGATTCCTTGAATGAACCATTAGGGTTTTATTTCCTTTAATTTTGTGCAATTCAAGATCTTATTTGTTTTTTTTGATTTTATAGATCATCTTTGACGTTTCTTTTTTTTAATAAAAACAAAATTATAAATAATGTTTTTAAGACTATCATGTTTCTTAAAAGAAATTTAATAATTCCTTGAAAATAAAACAATTAAATAATATCAACCACAAGAATCAAATAGAATGTGAGTGACAGTTCAATTGTTAAAAACCTTCAATTATTATTCATTATAGTTCTAATGCAACTCTCGATTTTGGCTCATTAAAAAATACTTCAAAACCCTTTTCGTCAATGAAAAATCTATTCATTTTAATTTAAGAAAAACCTTAAATGAATATATCCCAACATCATACTGAAGAAATTCTCCCTA